TATCAACATATAAAACAGAGTGAAATCTATATGAACAAACAAGATCTCCCAAAGGAAAAATGTATATTAATAATTAAGAGAGTTCAGTATGGAATTCTAGGGGACAGAAAATTTAATGTGGACAGAAAGAGAAAGAAGCCTATGAAAGTTTTGAGAAATTATAAGGACTTTTTGGCCAAGAGAGTTGTACAGAAAGATTTAACTCTGATTTCAAGACCTAAAGTCTTATGGAAGAGGAGGATGGATATTAGCCTATCTTTTAGTTTGGTTTTGTTATTTAGTAAAACTTGGACTAATTTATCCAAAAATCTATTTTTAAGTTACAAAGATTAAAACTGAGCCTTAAATTTTTGTAATTCTAATTAGGCCAGGGTGGGGGGAGATTTATCTAAGTAAATTAATAACATAAATAAATTTACAGAGGGAATTTTTGAACTATTTAGCATGATAAACTTTTTAAAAATTATAGCTACTCATGGATCTATTTTAGTTAGAATGGCCTAATGTAATAATATCTTTAAATATTTATCTTATTAAGTCAGGAAATAAATTCTTACATTTTGCACCACTGCTCTCTTTAACTTCTTACTACTTGTTCTTATATAGTCAGAACATCAATAACCTTGGGGATCATAAAGTACAAATTCTTAGTTTCAAAATGGAGAAATTAGTACTCAGAGTAGTTATGNTTTTTTTTAAATAAATGGTATTGTGTATACTTAAGGTTTACAATATCTTGTTATGGATACACATAAATGGTAAAATGGTTACTATACTTAAGCAAATTACATATCCGTTATCTCACACAGTTATTTGTGTGTGTGTGTGTGTGAGTGACAAAAGTAGCTAAAATCTACTTATTTAATATATTAAAACTGGGTACTACTGTTCATAATCCCAACAACATGTTTTGCTTACTTAGTAGTGGTTATAGCTATTCCTACTTGCTAACATGCTCTTCTCGCTTAGTTATATAAATATCTTTATCAGTAAATACAGGTCCATTACATCATTATTTTAAAGGCTGTATCATTCTATTGTGTGACTGTTCTATGATTGATTCAACAAATTTATTAGGTTGTTTTCAATTTTTTTATTAAAGCAGTATTATGATGAGCACTCTCATTAAGATTTGTAGTCTTCATTGTGACTTGAACAAAATTATATTAATGATTATAAAGCTTATGACAGGGTAGAAGGAGACCTAGAAGAATGAGACTGGTTACAGAGAAACCACTTAGGACACTCACAAGAAGAGAAAATGATTTTTCTACTGAGAAATCTGCCTATGGCCATGAAAAGAAACAAGCAGATGTGAGAGATATTTCTGATAAAGAAACAATGGGATTTGATAGCTGTTTGGAAATGGTGGACAAGAG